ATGAAAAACTATGTATATATTTTAATTAATATAATTAATATTTAATTTTTTTATTTAATTTATTAATGTATATTATAATTAATGTATTTTAATTTATTTTAATTTAAATATAATTAATTATTAAATAATAATATTTTATATTTATATTTAATTTATATCGAAGCAAAAAAAATGTAAATGTTTCATAAATAAATTCTTCATATACTTCATAATTTTAAATTTTAAATTTATAATATTAAAAAAATTAAATATTATATAAATATTATATATAAAATTCATAAATATACATATTTTATATAAATTAATATATAAGATTTTATTATGAAAAAGCAATTATAAAAACAGTTACCTTGTTTTGTAAGTTCCATCATGTTCTTGTTGTTTATTCCAATGTAAAATTGGAATAGGTGTTGTTGTTAATGACCCTCTCCTCTCATCAGTTGGAGGATTTTGTCTATCTTCGTGATAATTGTTACGAGCATAATTTGAATCTTGTGCTGCTGCAAATCCTAAAATTATTGCTATTATCTAAAAAAAAAATTGTATTATTGTTAAACTATTTTAAAAAAAATTAATTATCGTTCTTACAATACGCTTGACAATAATTGTAATATTGTGTATTTTAAAATGAAGTTTTAATAATAATAGAAATCTGTGACCAACACTATTGATGTGATGAGTGAAAGTAAGATGCCAATGCGGGTCATTTAACTCCTGACCTACGAGTTTACGAAGTCGTCTTCAATTTAGATTGCTTCGTGTTCTTTCCAGTTATCCATGTCGCAACAAGAGTTCAAGAATTATATTATTTTTTTAATTCAAAATTAAAGAAACAATATTTACAGTTATTTTCATTTTTCATATTTCAGTTATTTTGGTATGCAAAATATTTAACTTTTTCTTCTTTTAATTTACAAAATTTTTTTTTCTTAAATTTTCTTAAACTTTTTTAAAATTTCTTAAATAAAGAAAATATGACTTGATAAAATAATAATACTAAAAATATATTTATTATTTCTAATGAAATATTTATAATTAATTTATACTATATAATTATTAATATTATATAATATATAATATACTGTATAATTGTAATTGTGTACTATATAATATACTAAATAATATACTATATAATTGTAAATATTACATAATTAAATTAATTATTTAAATTAATAATATGCAATTATAAGCAAATATTCAATATAGACTGAAATAATATATTATATGTTTAGCAATAAGTTCTAAGAACAGTATATTAAAGGGCAATGCAGATTTCATTTTATTCTTCATATGATAATACTATTTAGAAATAATTAAAATTATATCAATAATAATAAAAAAAAATTATAAATAAATATTCTAACAAATAATAATTTAATAATTTTTTTCTAAGAAATTCTAAGCAATTATAAGCAAATATTCAATATAGACAGAAATAATATGTTATATGTTTAGCAATAAGTTCTAAGAACAGTATATTAAAGGGCAACCATGCGGATTTCATTTTATTCTTCACATGATAATACTATTTAGAAATAATTAAAATTATATCAATAATAATAAAAAAAATTTATAAATAAATATTCTAACAAATAATAATTTAATAATTTCTTTCTAAGAAATTCTGTATTATATTGATTATAATATTTTATATTATTAATATAAATACAAATGTGAAATTTTGAAATAAAAACTTAAATAGTTTAAATAATTCTTTTTAATTGTATTTAATTAAATATTTGCAACAATTAATTTTAGAATTTGTCGTATATATAATTCAGTTTATGTTTAATATTTTTTTAAACCTTTATATAATATAACTTTTATATAATATATCCATTTAATTTTTTTTTATTTGTATTTTTTTTATTTGTATTTTATTCTCTCATAATTTAATTGAAGAAATTGAAAATATTCTACTTAATCGATCTTTAATAACATTAATAAATAATATTTTTTCTAATTTAAAAATATATAATAACTAAAAAATTAAAATATAATAATTAAATTATTATAATAATAATAATTTAATACTAATTAATCATTAAATAATAATATAAATTTTATTACTTTCATTTAATTCTGATAATAAAAATCTATATTAAGATGTTATATTATATTTATGTTTTATGAAAATTTGTTATTATAGATATGATTTAAAAAATAAAACATGATAAAAAATATTAAATTTATTATTCATTTTATATTGGTTAAATTTAAAATAAATAATTTTGTTTTTTATTTTTTTTGTCATTTTTTTTCAATCTGTAATTTTATTTTTTATCTTATTTCTATAAGAAGATATCAGAATATTCCATTTTCAATTTTTATTACAAAATAAGAAAAAAAAGTAAAATATTCAAATAACGAAAATAACGATATAAAACAGATCAATATAAAAATATAAAAATTACTTACAATTGTTTTCATCTCTCTCTTAATAAAGAAAACACTTTTAAAAAAGATGAACACTACTAAATCAGATCGTTTGTGATCCTAAGGAAATAAGGAATTCACCTTTTATACTCTCACTTTATCCCCACTTAAAAAGTGATGGATCTCTGAAGATGTTTCACGTAGTTTGTAACAACGATCTTTACATGCATCTTATATATGGTGATACATTCTATACCACTTTATTTTTCTTTTTGACTATTTTTTCTTTATTTTTTTTTTTTTTTTTTTTTTTTTTTTTTTTTTTTTTTTGTAAGGGTAAATCAATAAATCATATTGTATTAATAGATTATATTATGATAGTAATTACTTATTAAATGTTAATTGAATAATTAAAATTTTATCATTTCGATTTATTTTTACCTCATTATTAAATATATAGAAGTTATAATATTTTTAAGTCAAATATTTTTCTTACTTATTTTTCTAAATTATTCTATATCGATAACAAAAAATCAATAATATTTTATTTTATTAAAATTATAAAATTCTTATAATTCTTATAATTAGTTCGAATAATATCAAAGCAAATAACAATTTACATAATTATCTTGATTTAAACGAAATATTACTCTATTTTGTGTTTGTTATTATAATTCTAATATTATATATTAATTTTAATATTGATATATTTCTTTTCAAATAATAAATAATAAATATATAAATAATAAATAAAAAATAATAAAATTATTTTAAAATTTCATATTTATACGAACAATAGAATGATAGAACTAATTAATTAATTCCTTGATAATAAATAGTATAATAAATATAATAATATAAAATATAGTAATAATAAATACAAGTGAAAGATTTTCAATTTCTAAAAACAAAAATTTTATAATAAAATAACAATTATATACTAAATGCTTGTTAATATTTAAATTCCAATCTATTGCATCACATGTGAAGTCATGATTCTCTATTGCTACAGCATGAACATGTAAATTACATAAAATACATTGAATTTTTCATCGAATTCAATATTAATATCTTAAATAAATAAATTTTAGAAAAATATTCAAATAAATATATTATTTTGAATATACTAAATAGAAAATATCATAAAGAAGCATCTTGAAAAATTTTATATCTATTGTTTTTATACATAATAATTTATAAAAGTATGGTAATAATAAATATTTGAATTGAATAAGTATATACTTATAAATTTATATATTATATTTTCTTAAATAAAATTATAAATTATAATTATTATCAAATTTTTTATGAATGAAACATAGAGATAAAATATTTTGTATTCACGGTTATTAATAACAAAGTATTGTATTATATAATAAAAAATATTATAATAAATATTATAACAAATATTATATAATAAAATAATAACTTTCTTTAACAATACTTACATTGTTAAAAATTAAATTTGACTAAAAATTTTTTGTGCAACATACAATTACAAATAATTTAAAAATAATAATTTTTATAAATATTATTATTAATAATTATTTTTAAATTTTATTCATTGGTTTTAAATTTTTGTTTATTAATTTACAATAATTTTAATTTTTAACCAAATAATGTTTCTTATTATACAAAAAATATTTTTAGAAAAAATTTGTACAAGATTTTTTAGAATAGAAAAAAATTATCATTTTGTAAAAATTCCTATTTATATTTTTTCTTATATTTTATTGTTGTGTTATTTATTGTAAATATTTGTGTATTTATTTTGAGATATCAATTAACTTAAAATATACTGAGGAGTAAGAAAAATATAATTAAAGTGAGGAATATTATAACATAATAAAAATAAA